GATCTATTTCTTTCCTGAATTGCTCATTCAGGGAATCCGTCATTTTTCTAACCTCCTCTATTTTTTTATCAATATCTTCTTTAGAAGCAGTTAGAAATTCTTCTACTGTTGTGCTTTTTTCAGATTGGGTTTCCTGCCTATGTTTCTGTAGTTGCTTCTTTACTTCATCTGCTACGAGTTCTGAGATTTCTTTTTTTATTTCAGAAAAGAAGTATGCTCTGATTTCCTCTATATCTTTCTGCTGTTGCTTATTTACTATCGATGCTCTTAATTCATGCATTTGAGCTGAGCTAGTGCCCTGCACTTGTTCTGGGTGGGCGATGGGTTTTCTTCCATATGTTTCTGAATTTGATTCTTTAGTTCAGATGTTATTAATTCAAGGATTTCTTTTCTCATTTCCAATCTGACGTCTTCTATATCTTTCTTCAGCTGTTTCTTTATTTCAGAAGCTGCTGATTCATTGTTTTCAGCTGTGTGATTTGATTTCCAATTTTTTCTGTGTTAGTGTCCTCTGTAGTTGTTACAGGTGGGCTTGGGTTCTGAGGTTGCATTTTGTTCCTTCTCGTCATTTTGTGTAGCACTGTCTTCTGACCTTTGTTGTAGATCTTTGCTGTAGTTATTTCCTTCGCACGTACTGAAGTTCAGGTGCAGCTCTACAAAGTTTGGACTTATCCAGTTGCGTCTGGCTTGGGTCTGGCTGCTGTGCTCAATCCTTCCCGCTGCTGGCCTTAAGGATGAACCTGTTGTGCCCCTGTGGTGAGATGTTTTGCTCCTGGACTAGCTGGTTGGATCTATTCTCTACACTCTCCCCTGCAGGGATTGCAGCTGCAGGATTACACCTCAGGCGTGTATGCTAGGCCTGAGCTGTGCCTGGAGGGGGCAAGGTGAAGTAGGAGGAAGAGGAAGCTCTCTGTACACACTCAGGGGACCTGGCCAGGACTGGGTCTGGGCCCTCCCGGACGGGGCAAAAATTCCTACTGGGCGGGCGGGGTGGGGGAGGCACTGCGGAGTGGTGGGGGGTGGCCCAAGGGGCTGGGAGAGGGTCCCGCCCACTCTGCGCCTGGGCTGGGACTGGTCCCGCTGGCGCAGGGTAGCAGGAAGCTCTCCACACACTCACCGGACCTGGGCTAGGTCTGGGTCTGGGGGCTCCTAGAACTGGGCAGAAAATCCTGTTCGGCGGGTGGGGTGGGGGAGGCACTGCGGAGTGGTGGGGGGCGGCCCACTCTGCGCCTGGGCTGGGACTGGTCCCGCCGCTGGTGCAGGGTCGCAGGAAGCTCTCCGCACACTCACCGGACCTGGGCTAGGACTGGGTGTCAGAGAGTTCTTTTTTTATTTCAGAAATTGATTCTGCTCTAAGTTCTTTTATACCTTTCTGCTGTTGTTTCTTTACTTCCAATGCTATTAATTCATACATTTCAGCTGAGCTAGTGTCCTCTGCACTTTTTCTGGGTCAGCTCAAGACCCAAGATTGCATTTTGGTCCTTCTCTTTGTCATTTCATTTAGCACTGACCTCTGACTTTTGGTGTAGAGCTTTGGTGCAGTTATAACCTTAGCACCTACTGAAATTCAGGTGCAGATCTATTAAGTTTGAGTTTATCCAGTTAGGCCTGGCTTGGGTCTACCTGTTGTGTTCAGCTCCTTCCTGCTGCAGCCCTTGGAAGTGAACCAGTTGTGCCCCTCTGGCACAACTGTGAACCTGTGGTGCCCCTCTGTTGTGCCCCTTGCCCAGCGGGCACTGCGGATCACAGAAGGTTTCCCACACACTAGCCGGACCTGGGCTTGGGCTCCATCTGGGAGTCCTGAGAGCACTTCAGTAGTTCTCACTCAGTGGACTTGGGGGCATGGGCTCCAGAGGGGTAGAGGCGTCCCAAAGGCACAGTAGAGGGTCTCACTCATACGCCGTGCCTGGGTGTTGGTCCAGAGAAGTCCTACAGGCACAGAGAAGCCAGAAGGTCTCCCACACACTCGCTGGGCCTGGGCTGGCTGGATCTTTTTATTTTATTTTTTATTAATTTCATTGAGAAACAATTAACAGTGAGCCAGTTTCAAAAGAGGTTAGTAGGACAGTTACAATAATTGATACATTGCATATTGTTGTCTTTGTAGTATTTATTCATAGTGCAAGATACAGACATGATATCCTGTCCAAACACTATTAGTACAAATCTTTCTTCTCATTGAATTAAGAGAAAGTAGCTGTTTATCTGTCCTGTTTTGTATATACAGATGCAAAATGGTCCTTCATTTATATCCTATTTTTTTTGTTTAGTTTTGTCAGAGATGGGTATTCCATTGCCATTTAAATATTGTAGGTGCATGAATTCAGCAAAATAATTCAATATAGTCCAGTAGTCCATAATAGTAGTGGGTTATCCGCAGGACTGGGAATGTCAGAAGATTTTAAAATTGCTTAGAGTTTGCCATAGTTCGCTATACACATTTGTAACTAATACAAGATAAAAACTAAATTTCAGATTCTGCTTTATACTTGTCTTGGTACAGTTAAGAGTTGCAGCCTAAGATGGCCATTCATAAATTTTTTCTTTTAAATTCACAGAGATTAAAAGATGTTGGTGGAGAAGCATTTTATCCATTGCTTGAAGATGAGTGAGTATATACAGTCTCATTTTCCATTTATTTTTCTTTTCTGTTTATATTGGATTGGTAAGTAGTTCGTATGCTTTCTACAGAGTGCTTTTTAAATAGAACATTTGGAAGTGGTGTTGCAGTTTATTAGAATTTTGTTCTTTTTGTTAGTATTGTTGCTTTTGTTCCCCTTTGCAGCCAGTCTAATTTACCTCATTCAAACAGCAGTAATGAGTTGTCTGCAGCTGCAACGCTCCCTTTGATCATCAGAGAGAGGGACACTGAGTATCAGCTCAACAGGATCATTCTTTTTGACCGGCTGCTCAAGGTAGGGATCTCACAGCCCAGGGCTCTTAAGAGCCCCTATGCTAACAAAAATTTTATACTGTTCATTCTTAGGGACTGTTGATGTCATTAGAAGACTAATCCCTGTTATTGAACTTTGCAGATTAACTTTGTTTTGTTAGAAAATTGATACAAGGGGCCAGGGAGATAGCTCAGTAGAATAAGTGCCTGCCTAGCAAGCACAGGAACCTGAGTTCAATCCCCCATTCCACAAATAATAAGTAAATAAATAAATAAAATTGATACAAGTTCATAGTAATTAAAGGCAAAAGCAAGATACGAGAATATATTAGAAAAAGAATTAATATTTTTAAATAGATTTAAAAGCTAATAGGAAGGGCTGGATAGATAGCTCGGTGGTATAAGCACCTGCCTGGCAAGCACAAAGACCTGGCCAGAATAAATCCCCGGTACCACATGCTGTGCTGGCCCTGAAACCCTGGCATTGCTGTGCCAGCCACCGAAACCGGGTGTGGTGGCAGCATACACATGTAATTCTACATCTGGGGAGGCTGAGACAGGAGGATCACTACAAGTCTGAGCTGCATAGTGAGACTCTGTACCAAACAAACAAATATTTTTTTAAAAAGACTAAAGGAAAAAAGATCAATGTTGATATGGTAAAATAATAATGAATAAACTTCATAATATAAATACAAGTGGGAAATATTATGTTGTGGCATATACTTTTATACTCATTGTACATTCCTTTATACCTAATGTATCAATTTTATAACAAAAGAAAGTTAATCTGAAAAGATTGGTAGCAAGGATTAGTCTTCTCATGACATCAGGCTCTCAAGTTACTTAGAACTTGTATCACGAAAGAATGTTAACCTTTATCATAAGTTTCCAGCATAAATTGACATGATCACATTTTTGTCCTTTGCAGTTCCTGTATGCTGTATCCCTTTTATTGATTAATGCATTTTGAGCCATCCTTAAATTCCTAACATGAATCCTACTAGGTCATGGAGAAACTTTGTAATTTGCTGTAGGACTTGGTTTGCCTATATTTTGCTGAAGTTTGTTGCATCTTTGTGTTTTTCCATTTTATTTCAGGTATATGGATTTGTAGATTTATCTTTTTGTTGTACCTTGTCTGGTTTTGGTCTCAGGGTAATGGTGTCTATAAAATCTGTTTGTAAGATTTCTTTTCTTCATTTTCTTTAGAATAATGTTGAGTGTTGGTATCCACTCATGGAAAATGAAGTGTTGGTACTGGTCCCTTAAATGTTTGGTGGAATTCAATCATCTGATCTTGAACTTTTTTTTTCCCTTTTTTTGTATTTTAGGGAAGGGTCTGCAGGTTGTTCAGGGTCTCACTACTAGATTGGACTCATAGAGATCTACCTGTTTACAGCCTCCCAAGAGCTGGGATTACAGGCGCGCACCATCATACCCAGTCTGAATTGCCATCTCAGTGTGCCCTGGGGTCAGGGCCAGCACGACAGGCCTAGGAATCAAACCGTCAGCCCCTGCACCTGTTTGTAGGCACTTTAATCCATTGGACTATTTGGCTGGCCCTGATCTTGAACTTTTAGTATTGATGGGGGACTTTTTTATTATTAATTCAAACTTATTAACTTGTTATTGGTCTGTTGAAGTTTTCTGTTGTTTCATGTTACAATCTTAGAAATGGTATGTATCCAGGAATGTATTCATTTCTTGTAGGCTCTCAAATTTTTTGGAATATATGTGTTCCACAATACTTTCTGCTTGTCTTTTGTATTTCTGTGGTGTCAGCTATCATGTCTAGATTTTCCTCTGCGATTTCGAGTCTTTTTTTTCTTAGTGTAGTGAAGGATTCATCAATTTTATTTAAAAACTAACTTCCGATTTCATTGATTTCTTTTTTATTTATTATTTATTTATTTTTTTTTAATTT